CTGTCAATCTAATGGTTAATAAATTACTGAAAAAATACATGGATTTCCAACTATATTAGGATTCACAATAAAAAGTTATTTATTATCCTTCCAACTCTAAGATAAACGTTGTGTGATTTCCTAAATGATGCAACTTTTCAAATTTTATTTAAAAGTAATAAAATTCAAAATATGATTATTATTTATCATTATTAAAAATGAAAAAGAGTTTTAATTTAAATATACAACTCTTACTAAAAGACGTGACTTTTAAGTGTGTTTTCTATTTAAAAGTAATAAAACTCAAAATGATAATTTTTTTTTCTTCCTTATAACACTAATTAATAGACCACAGGAGTCCTATTGAAATAGAATAGTATTTGATATGCAATGAACCAGTTTGAAGTCTATACACGGTGCTGTATATATATATATAATTTTACTTTATATCTCTTTTGTTTTCTAAATAAAAGATTCTTTCCAAATGACCAGAGACACGAAATACAACTTTCGTTTGAACCAAGTGGTGTCTCTTAAACGTTGTTCAGAGTCTTAAAATAACATCGTAGTTATAACAATGAATAGCCATAATAAAAATAATTTTAATCAAATTCACTAAGCATATGACTATATATATATATAATATATATACACATACACACGAGAGTTATATCCAATCACATAGTCCTTGTAATTAAGGACTAATTGAGTCTAAGTACTCTTCTTATTCCCAACTCTCTGAGATACTTAACAAATCAGAATATGCAACATATTTTAATTTCATATAGAACACACAGTCAACAAACAAATGTTTTTTTACATGAAATTGAACTTTGAATTTCATGTTCAAGAAAACACATTCAAATATACATTTATGGAGCACTTATGTGTAAGTGTCTAAATATAAGTGCAAAGTTCTAACAAATGTGTGATAAAGCATGTATTCTGAAACATTATATAACAAGTTCTTCACATTAAAGTATGTACTAATGCAGAAAAACATTATAAGTTAAATTAATATTTTATAATGCTAACTAATATGAGTTTTCATATCAACAAGTATTATATATATTTAATTATTTATGTGTTACTTCAGACACACACACATAGATAGAATGAAAAATATAACATTCAACTTGTATCCCAATATAGTTGTTTCAGAACCGATGTGTCCTTACTTACGAAATATATATATATATATATATATATATATATATATATATCAATGCGACCTTTTTATATGGTATTCTTTTAAACGTAAGAAACTCATTCCAAACAAAGTCCTCTAATATTCGAATTCAAATTCCATATATATATATATATACACACACACACATACACACATATTTAAATCAATACATTTTTTCGAACAGGTATGTACTGCATCCGTTTGGACGTGACTATTTTATTTGCTGTAATTGTGTTATTTTCTCGTACAACTACATAGAATCAACTAAACTATACAGAATCAATTACTATTCCTATTTTTAATATAACACTTTTCTTTTGAAAAGAATTAAAAGTAAAAATTGAACTTTTCCCTCTCAAACATTTTTTTTTTTTTTTTAATTTTTATCCAATAACGTCAACCAAGAAACTAAACCAAAGCATTACTTCTTTTTTTTTTTTCAGTTCAAAATGACAGATATAAATTAAATAAGTATTGTATTATATCCAGTTTAATTTTTTCATAACATCACAGTAACCATCTAAAACTACTTTAACACAACAACATGAATATTGTGAATGAAACATAGTAAGAATGATTAATACTATATATAAATATAAAAGTCATCAGTAATGAAAACCATAACCATATCAGAATCAAAGATATACATAGATGTATGACTTGACAGAATATGTAACATGTTTGAGAAATTATAAATGCTTTAGAATGTTCGGGATTTTAGATATCTTTATACAATCTCATTTTTAAGTCAATTCACGTAATCATATCAAAATACACTTTAGACTAAAACCCTTCTATATTCATATAATAAACAATATACTAAAATAATATATAGTATAAATAAAACAATATACTAAAATAATAAGCCAGTAAAATAACAACAAATATATATTAGAGTAGTAGAGAGTAAGAAACTCCTGGCCTGTTTAATGGAGAGGCACGCAATATTGCGCTGTCCTAAAACCTTTACAACTTCCCTACGTGCAGGTTGTGACGACTATGAAAGGCTCCAAAATACAACTCCAATATCCTCCATGCACACGTTCACAGAGTGACAATCACCAAATCTTATAATGTCATGTTGCCCATAAATTCAGATATATAATTAAATATATATAATATAGTATTTGGTTGAAGAATGAAAGAATGAGTTTTTAGAAAAGAAACTGAAGAAGAGAAGTAAGGTCTTTAATATGTTAGAATAACCATAATATATTTATAGACTATTTTCACATCCTTAACCAATAGACACAACTAGTCATAAGGGGTCACTTCACACCTGTTTTAAAAGTTTTTATGTTTTATTCAAAAAAAAAAAAAAAAAACCCTAACAGTATTTGTTTAGGCTGCAGTGAAAATTCAAGAACTGGGGGCCAAAAAATAGGAGATGGGTTTTGTGAATTGTATGGTAGAGATAAAAATAAAAATAAAAAAAATAAAAAAATAAAAAAATGAATATATCAATGTGTACATATACACATATGTGTGTGTATAACTGTGTACAGCGAGGAGGAGAGAAATATGGGGTTGTGGGTCAGTTTGGGGCAGAAAGGGTTATGAGATTGTGGTGGTGGTGGTGACTGGCGAACGCTATTTTTGGAGCATCGCGGAGTCATGGAGGGCCGCCGCCGTTCGAAGCTCGCCTCGTTGCAGTGGTCGTCTCTCTGTTCTCTCTTATATATACATGTGTGTGTGTGTGTGTGTATATATATATAGTTATATACCTCTCTGTGTGTGCAAAAATTTGTGATGTATATGTGTGTACTGTATATGTGATGGAAGAGGAAAGCGGTGGCGGTGGTGGCCATGAACACGATCATCAATTTGTTGATGAATTTTCTAGATTCTTGAGTTGGCCGAATTGGTGATCTCCTCCTCCTCCAGCGAACTGGTGTGGTGTATAGATTGTGGGTTTTTGTTAGCTACCCTTTTTAGTCATTTCACAAATTTTTTTTATATATATTATTAAATGCGTAGGGGCATTTTAGTCATAAATGTGTGAGTATGACCTATTTACACAAATATCATAGATTATGAGTGTTTTTTACATGAGGGGTACAATATGCATTATAAGCAGGGATGTTTTCTACACATGACCCTAAAAACAATAGAGGGATGAATCTTCTTGTTTGCCAAATAATAGTAATTCGGATAATGGCTCTATTTACCTTTTTAGCATAGATATATTAATATTCTCTCATATATATAAGTAAGTTGTTTTTAATATCATATTTTTCTTCAATCTTTTCAACTTGTAATTAGACCGATGAAATTATTTTCTAATTGGAGAAAAATTCATACAAGAGAAATAGAAAATTTATTTATATGGATCCGTGGTGGCGGATTCTCTTTCTTGAGATTTATCCGATCACTTGATCAAAGTTTTTTTTAATAATAATTTATTAGTTACACTTTTTTTAAATTACAAAATAGTTTTAAAATAATCTTTTTCTATCCCATAAATTGATGTTTTGAATTTGTGTCTCGTACGAAATCTCACCTGAGAGTGGTTCGACCTGCTTATTACTATAGCTACAGTGTTAAAACACACTAATATCAATAAATTGGTGATATGGGTTTGGCTCAAATAATCTTTCATGTTTTAACACTATTCCAAACCAAATAATCTTTCATGTTTTAACACTATTCCAAACCACCATGATCAGTCCGAAATATGATTTGGGCCTAAATTTGGAAACCAAAATATCAAAAACAAAATCATATCGCATACAAAACGACCTTTATGGCATGTTCCAACTTGATTCCCCACTTAGTAATCCTAGGCCACACAACTATAGAAGTAAAAAATACGACTTCAAGGCCTTTTGACACAATTATTTGGCCAACATTTTCGAACTAGAAGTGTGTTAGAAATAGAGAGACTCTCGAGGTATGTAACAGAATCAAAATGACTTGCATTTATCGAGAATCCATTAGCAATATGAATAGGTCACAAGTCATAGTTATGAGTTTATGGTGGTGGTGTTGTGCGTCTTAGAGCATTCTATTATTCATCGCGGAACTCATGCAATTCCCTCTTGCCCACATTCCCACATTCACTACGTAATTACCAGAAAAAGTAAGTATTGAAAGACCAGAAGCTTTCAATGGATATGGCATTGCCTAATCATCTCTTGTACCTAGATTATAAGAACTAGCTAGAATTAATGTTAGATGGGGTGGCACTGAGATATGTGTGTGTGTGTGTGTAGATATGTGTTTTTTAGCTTATCCTTAGTTGTAGCAAACATATTGAGGCCTACTTTTGGATGTTGTTTGAAGGTGCATACTCTGGTTCTGTTGCTATCAGTTCTATTTACATCAGAAGAATGGAGGCTTCAGAAACTACACAAAATGCATTTCTTCATAATGGTAATAAATTGCGGTGCGTGTGTGGTGTTCGAGTCCCCCTTCTCCTAATTTGCAGGGAAAATAATAATAAAAATAATAGTAAATAACTTGCATCAAGTCAACTTTGGAGATGATCCATGACTGAAACTGACTTGAACAACTATTAGATTATCTTGAAATAACAGGATTCAATTCAAACCACAAAGTTACATCCACAGAATTATTTGAAAAGTACAATACCTTTGAATAAATAAATAAAAATTGACAAAAAAAATCAACAACAGAGTAACACATAAAATCTTTGAATCTGATAGCCAGTCAAAACACAACCACAAGAAGACTAGAGAGAAGGATGAAGCTCATTCTGATATATAATTGAAAAATTATTTGTTCAGTTGGTACAAAGAATTTCTGTGCAAGTATACAAGAGTTGATCTATCAGTGAAGTATACAAGTGTCAGTCATCAATTGCGTGAATTACATATGATCTATCAGTGAAGTATACAAGTGTTAGTCGAGCTCCCGAGGGGAGAGAAATCATCTTTCTGCAGATATTTTTTTCTCCTCCGTTTGTAGCTGTCTTCTCCTCGGTATGGCGAATAAGGTATTGGCCATCTCTGCAGCACCTCCAGGTTTGTTATCGTTGATTTTTTATTCTCGTGCTGGTTTCGTCGGACTGGTGACTTGAAATTTTTGTGCTGGTTTCGTCGGACAGGGAACCTGGAATTTTCGTGCTGGTTTTGTTGGACAGGTGACTTGGAATTTTCATGCTGGTGTCGTTGGACAAGAGGCTTTATTCCCTGAAGCTCTGGCTCAGGTAAGTAATTGTATGGTAATTTGCGCTCATCCATTTTCCGGAAAGTAATGGAAATCCTGCGACAGAAAAGTAATAAATAAGAAATGATCCTTCATACAGTTTAAAAGAAAAAAATACTATAAATTCAAAAATTCTATGTAAGGAAGAAAGTAATAATACCTTCTTCGTTTGACTCCGGAAACACAATGCTTAGCACTGTTGGCTCCATTGCCACTTAGAACAAGCACCGATCTGCAGGAAATATGGATTATTATCAGAAGCTAATAACAGAAAGGATAGGGAGTGAAGCTAAAGACAACCACAATACACAATCTATATACACTTGATCAAACAATAGGATATCAATAGAGAGAGAGCTGTGAAATGTCCCTATGAGGCTTCATCAAGAAATTAAATTAATGCTATCGAATCAAATGAAACACCTTAGAAAGTAAATAATCCAATTTCGTAGTACATAAACATGACCTATTTCCACATTCAAATCACATATCAGTATTTGAACCCCATAAGGGAGAAATTTATGGCCCAAACATAGATACATGTGCAGAATGTTCTAAAGGGACATTAGGGCACCAGAAGACCGGGAATCTTCCAATACAGATGTGCGCAAAGACATATATGGAAGGGCACAAAATCATCCCATTATGCTTCCAGTCGCACTTGAAAATACGTAAAAGATCTTCAGAATAAAATTTGAAATTAAAGGGCAAAACTACACCGGTAATTAAGAAAGAGTCTCGAAATCAGAAAAGCATGGTACAAATAGCATCATTTCAATTGTGATGAATAGCCTCATTTCAATTGTTGCAGGAAACAAAATCAACTACTCTAAAATTCCGTACTAAGATTGCAATGATTTTATACAGAAAGAACTACATGCAGTCAGGGGCAAACCCATAAAATTTAAGTGAGGGGGCCAAATTAGTAGAATGAAATATAAAATTCTAAAAAAAAATGAAGTATAAAATGCAGTCATGGGGATGCAAGAAAGGTGAACAGTTAGTTATTTAGCAGGAGAGAAGATTCTGAACCCATACCCGACAGGCAAAGGTATTGAGACAGGACCCTCGAACTTTCCCGGACCAACAATTTTCAGATATGTACCAAAGAGTATATCGCACTCAGTTAAGAATGATACTGTGCAAAAAGGCCGCAGGAAATCGTGATGGTCAATGTGAGGAGGAATGCAGTCCCCTTTATCGTAGATGTTCACAATGCAGCTGTTAGGGACACAAGTTGGAGGCAGAACGTGCCACCTAACCATCCGTTTGATCATTTGCTGGAACAGAAGGGGTAGGGGATCAATATCTTCTTGTCTAAGAATACCGGGGGGATTCCCATTTTCGTCCTGTTAAAAAAGGAAAAAGTTTACAGAAGTGTGGGTACAACTCATGAGTACAAATGGTAGAAGAAAAGAAAGGAACAAGAACAAAATAGTACCACTGCATAGTTATAACAGCAACCAAATTGAATTGTGATCCGCCCTTTGCCTGGCATCCACTTTTCTGGTTCTGAATATGTCTTGGCTGTAAAATATTTTAAAATATAACAAAGAAAAACCGAAAGAACATTAAGCATATACCATATTGACATAATTTACAATCTTTAGCAGTTCAGCCTATATACTCAAAATTGACTAAGTACAAGGAAAAGTATAATAACAAGAAATTAAGTGTTGGTTTTGAAGGAGTTGTCAGTTTATATGAAATTGAATATAAAATTCATACTCAACATTAAAAAAAAGTTGACAAGCCAGAATTTAAGTGTCTATGAAATTATTTAGAAGCAATTAGTATTATTTGTGAAAATCAAGGCAAGCTTTTGTTTTAAATGAAACCTGCAATGCAAGGCAAGACCGTAAGAATCTAAGTTCAAGAACAGTCTCATAATGTAACAAACAAGGACAGACTTTTCATAATTTTACTGCTCTTTCTGTTAAGCAATTTAAGGACCATTTGTACTTCCAGAAACTCAGATTAAGTTGGGAAAAAAAACTAGACAACAAAGGGAACTAGCATCATACCTCTCAGTTGCCCCTTCCGTCCCATGCGCTGTAAATTGTAGACACATTCAACAATCTTCTTCTGCTCCTCGGCATTAAAAACGCGAGTATGTAGCTCAAGCCCTTGAAGCACATTCGTTGGCTTCCGATAGATTCTCTCAACGTGATAAAAATTCTTCTTCCTGCCAACTTCTGCAAACCTAACATGCTCGTTTTGCTCCCTTAATAACCCAATATCATTCAAAGAGGAAACTCCATCTTCTGAGGTTTGGATGGAGCTCCATGACCGTTTCTTAGCAGAAGGTTCTGAAATTTTAGAACCTGCAGACCGGAAGTCTGATAATTCTCTTAGTTTTCCTGCAATGGAAGGGAAAAAAAAGGTTACAGAAAGAAAATGCAAGTAAAATTAAAGTACAGAGAGTACTATGTAAAATTGCATTAATGTATGAAACAGAATGTAAGGTCATGCTATAAAATTTTTTATCTATCCTAACCGAAATTCAAGGACAGGTCAGAGGAAGGTGCATATAGCCGTATTATATCAAAATTTGAGGAAAACCTAGGGTTTGTTTGTTGAGATGAAACGTAATTTCTGAAATCTTTTTGAAAATAAAATTCTTTTAGACTGCAACTTTTTCTCATTTTGTATGAATCACTGGATGGGTTAATGTTTCCAAGTATTCATATTACTCAATAGTTCCTGCCTCCTCAAAGAAACATTCTATAAAGTTTTTAGTAAAAGAAAAACACCATAAAATTATATCAAAACCAAAACATGAAAAATTTACCCAAAAAAAAACCCTAGGAAAAATAGTTGCTCTAAGTTGATCATAAACCCATCAAATTTCTTCAACAAAAATGCACACACTTAAACAAAAATATATAATTTCTACACAATAATAAAGCCAAAAAGAATCCCAAAAAGCACTAACTGGTCCTAAGAACAATATTGACAAATCCAGTGCCCAAAAAAAAAAAAATACTTTAATGTAATGTGTAACAACCATTACTGCAATTTTGGAATACTTCAATAAAATCAAAATAACAGACAAACTATTTTTTTTGCTTTGCTGCAGAACTTACTAAGAAAAAATTTTCAAAACAAATAATGAAAAATATACCCAAAAAAAAACCGTAGTTGATTATAAACAAATCAAATAACGACAAATTTACCAAAAAAATCCAAAAAGGACCAAGAACACAAAAAACCTCTAAATGTTGCTATAAGTTTATTATAAACCCTTCATTTTAACCAAGGAAGATTCAAGAATATTTCTACTAAAAAAAAAAAATCCTAAAAAGATAGTTGCTATAAGTTGATTATAAACCCATAAAAAAAAACCCTCAAAAATAGTTGCTATAAGTTTATTATAAACCCTTAAAAAAAACCCTAAAAAATATACATATTAAATTGTATATACAATAATAAAACCCAAGCTAACACTCGGAACACTAATTAGTTACAATTTTGGAATACTTGTGAATCAAAAAAACAGAGAACACTTCTTAATTTTTTTGCTGTAGAACAAACCAACTAAAATCAAATGAAAATCTAGAGAGAAAAAGAGAGATTTGTTTTCCTTACCGTTATTGATCCGATTCTGAATTCGAGTCCGCAACAGGGCTTGACAGTGTTGACAAAACCCACCATCATCACACAAAACCGCCAAAATCTCTTCCCCACCCATTTTCTGTAGCAGACCCCTGAACTCCATCATTCCACCGTTATTATCTGAAATCGCGATGTGAGAGTGAGAGAGAGAGAGAGAGAGGGACGTGGAGTTGAAATGATTTGAGAGAGAGAGAGAGAGAGAGAGGCTTGGAGTTGAAGTTAGAACGAGGCAGAGATAGGTCAAAGACGCTCCCTTTATGAGGTGGCGATGCTGAGGTGGCACTAGTGGATCCGACTGATGACGTATACGATTTTAGAGAGAGAGAGAGAGAGAGAGGGAGAGAGTTTATAGACAAAACAAAACACACGCCTTGTACAAACGTAATGGCTACGCAAACACTTTTGGCTTGATCTAAAACCGAATTTACTTAAAAAAAAATTCAACTGTGTTTCAAAATAAAACACACGCGTGAGATACAAGTACGACGTAATTGTTACGCATGTTTTATGACGTTAGATAACATAATATTTGTGTTGTCATGGGTGAGTTCAATTTTTATTCAAATTTTAGAGTAGCGACCAAGCAAACAATTTTACTCTTCTATTTTTCTTTTCTTTTTTTTTACTTTCTAGTTGTTTGGCTTGATCTAAAACCGAATTTACTTTTTTTTTTTGTTTGTTAGGTTGAAAATTTTAGTTTGACGGTCAATTCAAATTTATTATTGGCAGAAATAAATTCTAGAATTTAAATTGCAACAACAAAATTAGGGATGACAATTTCCTCAATTTCGATCGGGGCGGTTTTAGTGATAAACCTACCCCGATTATATAGGTACCTTTTAATTTTATATATATATATAAAATATATATTTAATATTTTTAAAACTTTTGTTACTCTGTGAACAGTGTCTGTTAATATATTAATATTTATTATTTAATAACCTCAAAGTTGGGTCGACATATTTACCAACCAATATGAATACATTGGGCTAGTTGTTTTTTACTACATAATAAAAGTAACATAACCCGACCTGCCCCCACTACGCCCCACAGTTAAACGAAATACATGTGTGAAATCGATACTTTGTTTACCGAAATAGGGACGAAAATGGTATAACAATTACAAACCAATTCTAAATTAGGGACGAATTTGGTATGATAAATTTTTTAACAGTACAGAGTAGGATTTAGCTTCCGTCCCAACTCCGCCCCGTTAGCATTCCTAATTATTTGAGCGAATTAAGATAAATACCACTTTTAATCCATCATTGACCTTTGAATTATATGAATACTTACTTTTTATTCATCATTGACCCATTCACTTAAATTTGGATGCCCAAATAATTTAATTTTAATGAACAAGTTTAAACGGTTAATGAGCTTGGATATAAATCACCACCACGTGGATCATTGGTCCTAATCCCAACAAATGCTCCAAGAATACCAAAAGCGCAAATAAAATTTTAAACTTCTCTCAATATATTTTATTTCATCAATAAATTCTCAAGTATTTAAAAGATATAAAATCATCATTGACCTTTGAATTTATATGAATACTTACTTTTTATTCATCATTGACCCATTCACTTAAATTTGGATGCCCAAATAATTTAATTTTAATGAACAAGTTTAAACGGTTAATGAGCTTGGATATAAATCACCACCACGTGGATCATTGGTCCTAATCCCAACAAATGCTCCAAGAATACCAAAAGCGCAAATAAAATTTTAAACTTCTCTCAATATATTTTATTTCATCAATAAATTCTCAAGTATATAAAAGATATAAAATCTCTTAATATGATTTAAAACCCTGGACAATATAGATGGCAGAGAAATTATAAGGTCCCATCATATCCATAAAAGTATGAAAAAACATAACAAAAATAAATAAATAAACAACTGGTTAAATGGGTTAGGTCAAGCATGGACGGTCTTAGATATAGGTTAACTGGATCAGTTCCACCCAACTTGCATCCGACACGTCCATTTTGATCCACCCCGTATTTAACCCGCCCAAATCCACCCATTTACCAGGCTAATCACAAATTCACAATAGTCATCAGTAAGATTTGTTTTCTTATACTTCTATGTAAAAGAATTTTCACCAGAACATGAAAGACAACGCTACATAAATACAATATATTAACCTACTAGACCATATTTACATTCAAAGTAACATACAACACTCGCTTTAACATTTTTTTGGAATGCCCTCATCATCATCTTAGCAATTTTATGATCTCAAACACCCCAATCTTCATCGCTCCCATCCGTATCCTGAGCAAAATCATTATCAATTAGATTCATAAAACCACCAAATTAACTACACCGACTCGATATTATCCATAGAATAACTACTAAAGAGCGATCATTTCATTGTCGTCATCGTTCTGTTGTTGCCCATAATTAACAGTTGCTCATTGGTCTAGCTACTAAGTGGTGAAAGCTAGTAAGGGTGTGCATAAGGAACCGCTCCATCATTTGTACGGGTCATATTAGTTCAACTTAGGCATTTCCATAAGTTTGATTCCAACTTTTACGAAACGATTAGAATCGGTTTTGGTTCTAACTATTCTCTAAACTGAAGCAAATCAGATCGCTAGTAGTATTCATGGTATTATCGAAGCAATTTACTTCTACCACATTCATGCCATCAAAATCATACAAAAGTTTGTAAAACAGCATATTAGCACGAAATCAGACCTTTGATGTGCTTGAGAACTCTTCAATATCTTCAGCTTCAACCTACAAGGCATATCAGCAATGTAAATCACCAGCAATAACTGAATGCACCATGCAATCTGATACTACAGAGGGCTTTCAAATCATGTCTTCAGCGCTGACCGTAAGAGGCCAAAAAATAAAGAAAAACAACGAAAAGAGAGATTTTGAAATTTTAGTCCAGTTTCAAGGCAATAACTCGTGAGGGGAAATGCGTTTCATCCCTCTTCGAAGTGATCCTCTGAGTGTTCCTTAAATGAGTTTGGACTCGTTTTACTGATGTGTGATGCCACATCCCTTTGCTTTTATTGTTCCTTTCTTAGAGATTAATCCCATCACTTTCTTATCTTTATCTTCCTTCTATTCAACAAATATTTTCCAAACAATTTAAGATGGAGCAAAGTCCAAGATATGAAACAAAACTAAGTTAATTAATTTGGTTGTGGTGGGGTGATACCAGAGCCATAGTTTTTAAGGCAGTCATTAAAGAAGGAACACCTCTCAGATGCAGAAATCTTGCCTTATTCTTCATGGCATTCTTTTATAGAGGAATCTCCGTACATTCTTGCATGAATTTGCTTTTGTTATATATGTTTTACTTTCAAACTTTATTTCTCTCATCGAAATTAGTGATGCATAAATGCATAATTTCTTCTTAATATAGCTCATTAATTTTTTCAGTTATTCTTACAGACTATTCATCCTGATGATATAACAAATGCATGAAACAAACCCTAGAGATTTTAACTATCCAATTTGTTATGTTGTGGCCCGAATTTATTTTCGGACCGGGTCGCATTGTGACATGATTGACCCGTTTAGTACTCTTTTGTAGCCTAATATATAAAGGCGTTTAGGGTTTGAAGTGGTAAAATAAGAGAACACTGAAAATTGCATGAAAGAGTGAGAGCGAGAGCTAGGGTTTGGGGGCTAAAACTTGTAATCTCATATTTTTCGCATAGTGAAAACTTTCGTTGGATCTTCACTGTGGATGTAGGCACAACTTGTGTCGAATCATGTTAATTTTTGTGTTCTTTGTGCGTATCATGTTTACTTTCCAATCGTGATTTTCATTTTGTTCTTGATTCTTTGTGTGTGTCGTAACAAGCCGGTATCAGTGCTTTCGGTTCAAAACTGGGATGGCAACCAAATTTCTGAAAAACGAGAAGTTTAACGGCAAAAACGATTTCAACCTGTGGCGGGTTAGGATGTAGGCTATGTTGGTTCAACATGGGTTATCCAGAGTGCTGAAGAGGAAGGATGCACTGCTAGAAAAGATTAAGGACAAAGATGAGGTTATGGAGAAAGCACATATTGCGGTTATCTAGTTCTTTTTTTCTTTTCTTTTTTTAACAAGACGTTATCTAGTTCTTGAGTAATGAGGTTTTGCAAGAAGTTTCTAGAGAGATTATGCCGAATGGGTTGTCTAACAAGTTGGAGGCTTAATATATGACGAAATCTCTTGTGAATTGCTTTATCTGAAGAAACGGTCATTCACTCTTTAGATGCACACAAAGGTTCGTCTCTAAAAGATCATCTTGACGAGGTAAACACTTTTAGCATGTACTTGAATAATGTTGTTGTTAAAATATCGGATGAGGATCAGGCCACTATTTTGTTATATTCTTAACCACCTTTGTATGAGAACTTTGTCTGGGAGAATTGTTTTGTCTATGGAAGACGTGAAGGCAGCTCTGAATTTTAAGGATTTGAAGCGAATGGCATTTGAGGGCAACAGAGAAGATTCGGCAAAGGGGGTGGTTGCTAGAGGGATAATGAATCAGGATGGAGGGTTTGGCTATAGAGGTCATTCGAAGTCTAAGAACAAACAAAGGTATTGAGATGTTACAGTTGTCACAAGGAAGGGCACTTCAAGAAAGACAGTCTGGAGCGTAAGAAGGGAAAGAAAAATTCCTCTGAAACCGCTGATGTGGTTGTTGCAGCGGGTGATGATTCAGATGGTTGTAACATTCTCACAATTTTTGTCAGCATCTCTGGTGATGAGTGGATTCTTGATTCAGATTACTCGTATCACATTTATCCAAATAGACATTGACTTACCTCTTATCGAACCATGGATGCAAGGTTATAGGTATCGGTACAATTCGAATCAAGACGTGTGATAGCATAATAAGGACATTCACATCAGGCATGTACCAAAACTGAAGAAGGATTTGATTTCCCTGGGTACGCTGGATCCCATAGGGTGCGGTTACAAGGCTAGAGGTGAAGTCATTCGGGTTTCTATGGGTGCTCTTGTGGTAATGAGGGACTGAAGCGGCATGATTTATGTGCGCCGTAGGGTAGCACAGTCACAGGTTCAGTTGCAGTATCGTCCTTGGATCCATATTCAAATACTACTAGATTGTGGCATACGTGGCTTCGCCATATGAGTGAGAGGGAGATGGATGTTCTGAGTAAGAAGGGTCTGCTTGGTAGTCGGAAAACCGAGAAGCTAGATTTCTGTGAGCATGGTGTCTTCGGGAAACAGCGTAGAGTGAAATTCAATACAGGAATCCATATCCAAGGGTACGTTGGATTATATCCATTCTGATCTTTGGGGTGCCTCTCGGGTTGCTTCACATGATGGTGGTAGATACACGATGACGTCGATTGATGACTTTTCTCGAAAAATCTGGGTATATATTTTGAAGCACGAGAATGAGGCCTTTGTCACATTCAAGAAGTGGAAGACCTTGGTTGAAAAGCAGGTCAAGCGCTTGAGGGCAGATAACAGCTTGGAATTCTGTGACCAAAAAAAAAATAAATAAATAATGAGTTCTACAAGGATCACGGGATTGTGAGACAGCGCGTAGTGAGAAAAACTCTGTAGTAGAATGGAATTGCAGAATAGATGAACAAAACACTGTTGCAGAGAGCACGATGTATGTTGTCCAATACTGGGTTAGGCAAAGTGCTCTGGGCAAGACTCTGGAGGAGGTATGGTATAGTTCTCCAACTAGTTTAGAGTCTTTAGGTGTCCTATGTATACACGTGTCAATTAGGGGAAGCTTGAACCAAGGGATAAGAAATGCATATTTCTTGGTTATGAGTCCGGGGTCATACAGATTGTGGTGCCTAAATGATTCAGGAAAGAAATTATTTGTTAGTAGGGATGTGACCTTCCATGAGTCTGTGATGCTTACTCCACAGAAGGAAGTAGTTGATTCAGCAAGGGCTAAAGATTTTAGTGAGCAGGTGAAGCATATAAAGGTTCAGTAAGAGGATGTTCCTAATCGGTCGAATGATGAGCAGGTGCAAGTTAGGGCTGAGAAGAAAGATGCGAAGTTGCAACAGCACAGTGTGGCTAGAGATAGACTGGGGAGGTAGACTAGGCCACCTCAGAAGTATGGTTTTCACAGGTTGATTCAATTGCTTATGCACTTAGTGTGGCAGAGAGTATTGATGAGCAGGTACCGTGCATTTATCATGAGGCCATCCTAGGTGGAGAGTCACAGAATCAGATTTGGGAGCTAGTTGAGAAGCCTAAGGGCCAGAAGATTGTGGACTATAAATGGGTCTTCAAGAACAAGGAAAGAACTCTAAGATTGAAAGATGCAAGGTTCAAGGCATGCTTAGTGGCAAAGGGCTATACACAGAGGGAAGGAGTGGACTTCAATGAAGTTTTTTTTCCTGTGATCAAACATAGCTCAATCAGGGTGTTGCTTGCTATGATTGCTCTGTATGATTTGGAGCTTGATGTCAAGATTGTGTCCTTGCATAATGAGTTGAAAAAGCATATTTATATGCATCAGCCTTAGGCATTTTAGATTCTAGGAAAGGATGGTCATGTTTCCCTACTGAAGAAGTCCTTGTATGGGCTAAAGCAGTCTCCTTGACAATGGTACAAGAGATTTGACACCTTTATGGTTGGGAGTGGCTACTGTAGGAGTGAGTTCAATAATTATATGTATCACAGGAGGCTCTCAGATGGTTCGTATTTGTACTTATTGTTATATGTTGATGACATGTTGATAGCTTGGAGGAACATGTTAGACATCAACATGTTGAAGGATTAACTTGGTGAATTTGATATAAAGGATCCTGGTGCCGTGAAGAGGATTTTGGGTTTTGAAATTTGTTAGCATATATGATACCACGATTTATGGTATGACTTGCTACAATAGCAAAGATTTGACTATGCATATGTTACCATATATGATTACCACTATTTATGGAATGACTTACCATAATAGCAAAGATTTGATTATGCTATAGAATATGCCATAGAATATGCTTTAGAATAAGTTGTGATTTGATTTAGATTTGACTTAGTTTCCTTTCTTATAATATGAGCATGTGCTCATTTTATCTATAAATACTAGAGCTGTGAATGAGTAATTCATATCATTCAAGCCCTTACGCAATTCTCTCTTTTCTCATCTTTTTATATTTCTACTTGGTATCAGAGCCAACACCTTTCCACACCTTTCAACAACCTTGCTACTTGTGCGACAGCTACCTTAAGCTGTTTGTGACATCGTGTGACATTGCCTACACATGTTTTTCTGTGCTGTTGTTTTGTGATCGAAAACAGGTATTTTTAAGTTTTACAATTTCTTTTTTACTCTTCTAGGCTTGGGTAAATTGGGATAGTTGGTTTTCAACACCTATAAGGGCTTGGGTTAAAAAAAAATTAGTCTACAAAGAGGGTCCGGATATTAAGAAGGAGGTTGTCTAGTTATATGTAAGCAGGCAGCGCTCCTTAAAAAAGGTTTGTATTTGGACTTTTCGGGAATAGTCTGAGGAGACATTGTTATTGTTTATGGTCTGAGGAGACTCTTTGATTTATTAACAAAATTTGTGGTGTTTTTGGAGTTTTTTATTGTCGTGTAACAGATTATACCAGATTCAAGGTCCTCGACTGTTAATTCTCTTGGCTCAAGTTCTGTGGGTGGTGGTGCCATTTTTCCCGCCAACTCATCAAAAAATCCAAGACTTCAAATCACCACAGTGAAGTTGGATAGTTCCAACTATTTGATTTGGGCACAGTCTGCCAAGATATTCATTGGTGGCAAAGGCAA